ACTTGGAACCATGGTTAAAGCAACAGGATATGCATTTAAGGATTTAAAGTTATTTGTATCATGGACACACAGAAACGCTATACTACAATAGTATGATTTTTCTAAATGGGTGAGAATCACATAAAGTAAAGAAATTCAGTATGTACAGTTAACATCACTAATCAGGTAGATGTTGGTAACAAAGAGTTAAGGCAGCACACAAGCAATCCTGTATCAGAAAATGTCCATTTATGCAAGAAGTTCTAAGGCTTCTGGGATCATCTGATTTCTCTTCATATACACTTAGAGACCCCTACTGCAGGGGTCTGCTCTTATATGAATTTTTATCCTAGGATCACTGATGTTTTCTTAAAGTATTGGCTGCATTTATGTAACTACCTAATGTCACTGTCTGAATTCAACAACTTAACTGGGGGTGGAGCACTGCTGCTTCAAGACTGATCATTTCAGTACCCAATATGAGCAAAATACCATCCTATCATCAAAGGCACCCACGCCTCTAATGCTTCTGTTTGGTGCTGGGTTGAACTCAAAGCTTAGTACTGATCTTCACCAAAGAGAGAGATAAAGCCTCAAATGACAGATTAAAATACAACAGGAAGGAAGTCTTAGACTAAAACAGAAAATATAAAGTATTTTTAGAAGAAGAGACATAAAATGGTTTACAAAGTTCTAGTACCACCACAGACAGTCAAAATACCAATGCACTGTAAAGGAAAAGTTTCTGAGTACACAGCTTGATCCAAAGAGGCATTTTCCCATGACATTTACTGCAATATTTACTGTAACTACTGGGAATCAACAACAAATAGGATAATAGAGAGCTTTTTACTAGAAGAATGTTGCAGTAATGAGACTGTATTCTATGGCTGTCCTTGAATTTTGGAAATGAAGGAGAAGAAAACAATGGGAAAAACAGATATATCATTTATGTGGACTACTTATATGTACAAAGTATCATATTTACTTTCAACATCAACCTACACAATACCAAAGGAACACTACTGTATTGGATGCTTTGGAGGAATGTAGTTTCTAACTCTAAAGTGAACACAACAAGATAATCCTTATGAGTCTCTTCTGCCTTAAGATACTACTTGATTTTCATCCAGAGAAAGGGAGAAAAGGCTACAAAAAGAAAAGCTTTGCTAGCATTTGAATATATGGTACAAATACATCAATGAATTGTCTTTAGACAATTTTTATGCTGCATTTGACATTTTTTATTTCCTAAAAAAACACATTCTCTGATAGTATTTACACCCTGACAAAGTCTTCTTCAATTGTTATCGCTACTTATTTCATACACAGCATTTCTTTTAGTCATTTTATGGAACTACACTATTTGATCTGTTCAAATCTCAGGTTATAAATTACAAAATGGTCTTCTGAAACCCAAAATATATTTTTTAAAGCCGGGGGGGGGGGGGGGGGGGGGGGGGGGGAAGAAAGGGGGAAGAGAAGAGAGATAAAGCAATCTGACCTTTATTTCAAATCGTCCTCTATACTCAAATCCCAAAACAAGGAAGTACACAGCATCTTAGCTTTTTAGCTATATTTTTGTTTTAAAATAATAGAAAACATATGACTCACTAAAATCAAGCTAATTTCTTCATTCCTTTAAAATAAAAACATTTGAAAGCTTCAAAATTAGTGGAAGAGAATGATAGCTTGAAATATAGATTCTGAAAACAAACCAAAAAGCCTGATTTGGGGGAGCAGAAGATGCTATGACCTTACACAAATGAACAGACTTTTTACAGAGATACTTCGGACAAATTTGTCGGGTTTATTATACCTCAATCATTACAGCATCATCAAAACTAAGGGTAAATTAAAACATAATTGAAAAAATATACCAGAACAAGGGTGGATCTTCTGTAGAAAGAAAATGATCCATCCAAAATACACTTCTAGCAGATACCTTCTCATGAAGCGAGGAAATGGACTAGATTTAGACTACATTCAGCTGTTGCTTTCAGACAATTTGAATCTAAGCTGCTGTCAAGATAGCAGTTCAACACTTTGCTAGTCCTTTATTCCTGTCTACGACAACCTCTTTTTCTCCTGATGCTTATGCTCAGCAAAGTGGATTCTGCCCTGTTCCAGCCCACCACAGGGCTGCCCAAGTCCAGCAGAACAAGACAGCAACCAAAAACAGACACTAACTCGAGTGTCCTCCTCCTTCTGTCCTCCATTTTTCACAAGGACCCTAAAAACACTGTCATTAGATTCCCACTCTTAGCAATCTAATGACTAATTCTTTATTTGGAGTGTAGGAGCCCCATCAGCAGACACAGAGAGAGGCTCATCACCTCAGTCATGAGTCACTTAGTACATGGGAGTCCCAATCTTTAGACCTGGCTTCAAATCTGGCAGAACTAGAATTTAACTCTAGAAAGCTGAAAAAATAAGAGTGGCTCACTGCAGGCCTACAAATATCCTCTTATTCATTCTTGCAACAAAAAGTAAAATAAAATTTAAAAAAACCCCAAAATTTAAAAAAAAAAAAACAAAAAAAAAACCCACCAAAAAAAAAAAACCAAAAAACAAAAACGAAGTTGTTACCCTCTTCTTGTCAGCAAGCATATTATGCATATAAGTTACCATATGCTTCTGGCTAGCCCTAAGTAGCAGCAGAACAAACTCTGACAGGCAGCCAGTCAACTACACCAGCTAAGCCACGCAGCAAAGATCAAGCATTTCAGGTTTTTTCAGCAACTCTTTGACTTTCCGATCCAGTTCTTATAAAAGAAATCTAGTAAAAAATGAGGCAACAGTGATTCAACTCTTCCGGAGCTAAAAAGTTCCCATGAATTTTAATGTAACTGTTTCCAGCTTGCATTGGTCTTCACAAATACATACAAAATACAAATTATTTATCTTACTAAAATCAACTAAGTTCATAATAATCTTGCAGCTCAACAGGACTCAGTTTATTACTTACATAGAACAAGTGGACAAAAGTGCAACTGGCTATACAGGAAGTCCTGGTCCCAATCGTAGATTTTGTGCACATGTATCTGAAGGAATATTCCCCTTCTAGCACATAGAGAGCATTTCTGATCTAACACAGGAATGAAAAAGCACACAGAAACAGTTTCAGTGCCCCAGGGAAAAATATCACTCTTTTCACCAAATAATCTAGCAATCTGCAACACACAGATCTGCTCGGGTGGAGTATCATACTGTTGTACAGCACAAACTATGCCAAAGCACAAATGCAGCTTCTCTTTCCAGACACCTCATTTCACTCCTTCCCATCTAAATAGGTTTAATGCTGGGATAACATCCTAAGCAGCTTTGTCTTAATCATCTGCATTTTCTCAAGCAGCTTCTGCACTGGCAACAAAGATTCTTCAGAATCAGACAGAAATACTGGTCAGAAAGTAGTGGGGATTATTGCAATGCCCAACACATTTTTTCTTTTATTCTCTATTACACAGACCTAGGTTCTTCAAGAGCAACTGACAACGAAGACTGGTGTCATTCTATTCCAGATCTCATACAAGCATGAGTTTTTTTCAAAAAGTTTGTTTTCAGGTCTCAATCCTACCATGAAAAGCTGAGCTTCTGGGCAGTCATATAAACCAGTCTCCAAAACTGTATTTTTTTTGTTCCATCCCCCTTAAGATCAGTGCTTGGAGCCAACATTTCCTGACATTCAACATTAAAATACATTATAACCATGGTGACAATATTATCAGTTTTCTTCCACAGATTTCTCCCCAAGTCAAGCCGTAAAAACAAAACCAAAACCCCTTCCATGATACAACTGTCAAGGCAGAATCTTAATGCTGCCACCTGATACAGATCAGCAAGCATCACACGCCCATAAGGGCTGGAAAATAGCTTTGTACAGACACGGCCCAAACACATCAGAGTGTACGATTAGGCTGCAGATGTACCACGCAATTTGGATGTCAGATCAGGAACCACCGGTCTTATATAGTTCTACATGGATTTCCATCAACACCAAAAATGCCTTCCCTTCTCTGCCAGAGCCACAGGTATATTATTTCACAGTAGCATTTACAACACATAATGAAATAGGCTCGAAAAGCATCTTTCTATTATGAAGTAGATTTGCCCCTCTAAGATTTCTACCTAATTAGTACTCAGCATGCCGCATTTTCTTTTGTTCACCTGTTTACATCCACTGAAACCTACAAAAGCATTTATAAATGCTCACCTAGAAAAACACTGTTACACAATTTTTTTTTTTTCTGACTTTTTGACACTAAATACCACATAGCCTCTTTCTGTGGCCCATTTAAATGGATTTTTCCTGATTAATGGAGGGAGTGCCACAAGAGCAAGCACATATTAATATTAAATAACTGGTAAAAATAAGTGAAATAATATTTATCATATTAGGTTTCACCCTTTACCCTTTCTTGTAGTTGTATGCTCAGCCTATTTTTATCTATGAAGATAGTCGTGCAAATAAAAGTACAAAAAAAAAAACCAAACCCAGCCAAACAACACCTATTTCTGCTTTTGTAAATAACAAACTTGAGTAAGATACATCTGAGTAATTAAGAAAATACAGACCATTCCTCAAATGCTACAATGTATTTTAAGAGACTGAGATGCAAAGCAAACAGATATGCTTCATGCTTATCTAAACTTGAAAAGATCTGCTTAAAACAATCTTTCATGAACAATATATATATCAAATGCAACAGCTTCCTGTCAAGGATTGTTCCGAAACCCTCTAGGTAATACTCTAGCAACTTACAGCATAGCAACGCTTACAACATGGCCGCAGTAAATTGTCACGAATGAAAACTGTAAGACACAAGTAGAAATAAATATGGTAACAGCAATATGCTGTGAATGTTTTCCTCCCTTTTTTCCGTACAGTCTGTAGTTCACATCCTGATGCAAGCACTGGAAGATAATTATGGTGGAAAGAGATTGCAGATACAGGTACTTACCGTGCAAGATGAAAAACTCTGTAAACAAATAGCACACTGCTAATTTATACTGTCACTTACCTCATAGGACCAAACGCACTGAGTTCCTCCAAACCTCCGGACACACCTGCCCACTTCCACATCTTCATGAGTGGTGTACATTTCTCGAAGGCATTCACCTATATGTGGCACCATCCTCCGGAGAACTTCCCGGCTGAAGATCATTCCTGGCCCTCCCATGCAGAAATTTTCTCCAGGCTCCAGCCCGAGTTTTCCGAGTTCTTCAATATTACCCAGACCAGTCTGCCCCAAATACAGAGGTTTACTGCTGTTCAGTGAGCGAAGAAACTCCTCCAATTTTTCACCTGAAAAAAAAAGGACAAGATTTACTTTTATTTGTCTGACTACTCTGCCAGCCATCTCTTTTCCTGTACTTCAAAGTTTTATAAAAATGTAACAGGTATCTGACTCAGAGGAAATGACTTCCAAAGCAATATCCCAGACCTCACAGAAAACATCCTTGGACAAGTTTACAGGGTTTTTTTAATTAACATTACAATGACATTTTCCTTCCAGCCACAAGCTGGAATATGGTCAGAACTTAATTTTTGACAGTGAACTTGTTCTGTTCAAACAATACTGATGGAAAGCACTTGCTAGTATAGAAGTCCCTAAAGTTGGACAATTTGGACACTATAGTTCCAGGCTGGGAAGGAAAAGGAGTAGATGGGAAATGCCAGATAAGATTAAATACATTAATTTTAGAAAATACCAGAGCCAATCTAAATTAACTAGGAAACACAGGTTTGATTACAGACTAATTCTTGGAAAGAAAATAAAACTCTTGTTAGTTTCAAATAGTTCCAGTGCTACAGTGTTTATCATCACTTAGCTAGTTATTTTTAGGAAACTTTAGTATTTATTTGAAATTAAAAGTTTCTGGATTGATTTAATTTGGTACCACGTAATCAATTAAAGACAGGTTCAGTACTCCCATCGAAATGAGCTCAAAGAAAACACAACTTTAGCCTGCAACTGAATGTATACACATACGTACATGTGTAAGTCTGTAAATATTTGACAGGTGAATGACAGCTGATGAGCAGGAAGCCTATTAAACGATTCGAAATTAAGTGACAAACGGGTAAGGGTACAGCTACCGCTAATGAACTTACAATAGCGTAAGCAACCAATCTCACAACCTGGGCTTACGCTTTCAACTTCAGCTTCCCTTTCGTAAGCGCAGGACACGGCACAAACAATGCTAGCCTCAAGCGCAGACCAAAAGGAAGAAGGCTGCAGAACATCACGTCCTAACGGTGCTGTGAAACTCGCACGGGAGCAGGGCTGGTGCTTCCCGGTGCCGCTCGCTGCACTCAACAGCAGCTTCGCTTGGAGCCCGCGGCGGCTGCGCCCGCCCAGCCCAGGGTCGAGGCAGGCGGGGAGCTGGTACCGGTGACAGCAGCGCTTCCCAGGAGTCCCGCACCGACTCCACCGCGGGGCCGGGGCGCGGCACGACCGCCAGACACCCCGCGGTCGGGTCGTGAGTCCTGCAGTGCCCCGCAGCCCGCCGCGCCCGGTCAGACCAGACCCTCTCCGCCGGACCACGGCGGAGGCTCGTCCGCAGGATCGCCACGGAAGCGAGGGTGGGGACGGCACAACCGGGACCACACGCCCATCCAAAGGACCGCTCACCGAGCCCGGCGCGGTCCAACCCGCAGTTTTGGCTCTCCAGTGAGTCGCGGCCTCCGCAGAGACGGCCCGGCCCGGGCACGCCGGGGTTCCCTCAGGGATGGGGCGGCTCCCCGTACCCCGCAACCTGGGGCTGGAAGCAAACGCCGGCGGGGCGGTGGCAGGTCGAGGCGCCCCATGCTCTCCCCGCCCCAGGCGGGAACCGACCACAGGGGGACTCCGACGGGCTCCCAGACACCGCTCCCCTTCCTCCCTGCCTCCCGCCGGCGGGATGCGCCCCGGTCACCTTTTATGTAGACGTCGTCGTCCGCCCGCATGAACCACTCGTACTTGTCCAGGTAGTGGTCGTGCATGTACTTGATCATCATGAAGGACTTCTTTTGAGGCGGGTAAGAGTCGTCCACTCCCGGCAGGGCAACGACGGGCAGCGGGGGCATCCCGGGAGGCGCGGCGGAGCCCTGGCTGGAGAAGAACTCCACGCGGCCCGGCACCGAGGGCGCCCACGTCCGCTGCGCCGCCACCGCCCGACTGCCCAGGTACTTCTGGGCCGTCATCACCCCCACATAGAGAAAGTTGCGGGGCTTGGTGCAGCCCTGCGCGCCCCCCCAGTCCCCGCTCCCGTTGTGGCTGCCGCCAGGCCGGCCGCTCCGCTTCTCGCCTCCTTCGTCCTCCTCCTCCGGCTCCCCTTCCCCGCCGGCAGCGGGGCTGGAGACCGTGCCCTCCGCCGCCGCCGGCGGCAGCTCCCAGGGGCTGCTCCTGAAACTCGTGCCGCCCAGTACCGCCGCTGCCCCCGGCGGCGCCTGCTGCCCGCCCGCCGCCGCCGCGCCTCGGGCCGCCCCCGGCCCCGCCGCGCGGCCGTAGTAGGAGCAGAGGCTGGCGCCGCGCCGCTTCTTCTCGCTGAGCTCGGCCACTCTAGGGGCGATGAGCCAGGAGGCGGCAGTGAAACCCAGCACCAGCCCCAGCACCACGCTCAGCCAGGGTCTCCGGGATCGCGCTGCCATGTCGCGGGAGGGGCGGCTCCCGGAGCAGCGCTACCGCCGCCGGCGTCCCGCCGGAGGCGACCCCCGTCCCGCGGCGGCCTCAAGCGCGGCGTCTCCCGCCGCGGGTCTCTGCACCGCCGCGGCGGCCCCGGGCGGCTGCGCTGCTCCCGAGTCAAACTTCTGCGGGCGGCAGGGCGGCGGAGCAAGAGCGGCGGCGCCTCCGCTCCGCTGGCACCTTGTCCCCGCCGCGGCTGGTCCCTCCCTGCCCCTCCCACCGCTCAGCCTCCTCCGCCCCGGCCGCCGCGCTGCGCCCACCGCTTTCCTCCGTGGCTGCCGAGCGCCTCACCCCGGAGAGCGCCGCTGGTGCCCCAGCTGTGGCGGGGAAGCGGCGGCCGCCGCCGCCGCTCCGGAAGGAAACGATTTTTTTAGATGCCTCTCGCCGATCACCCGCGCCGCGGCCTCGACACCCGAACCGGCCCCGCCGCCCGCTGGCGACCCTCCTGCCCGCTGGGGCGGGGGCAGGGCCGGGGCCGCCCGCCGGGCAGTGCGGAAGGCTGGGGCGCGGTGGGGCTGCCCCCGGCAGCCTCGCTTAGCTCTGGATGCCCCGGTGCGTCCCGGACCCGCTGTAGTAGCGGGCGAGGCCGGGGTCTCAACAGCGGCCGCGGCCCGGCACCATCCGAGGGCGGCCACGGGGCGTTCCGCCCGGTCGTCTCCTCCAGAGATTGTGGAGAGCAGATCGTGGAAGGCACCCGGTCCGGGGTGTCGTGTCGGGAGGAGAGATGCCCTCTCCGCTGCCTCCGCTCTAGCCTCTGCCTTCTGCCCTCGACAGTTAACAACTCCCCTGCTACAAGTGCCTTTTACTGTGGCGTGGATTCCCACGGCCTGAGTACATAATTATTTTAGTAGTATTAGTATTATTGGTATTGTTAATATTGCTTTGGTTCTCATGAACTCCAAGATCCTGGAGCATTGATTCCTCATCCTCCTGACCTCTGGGTAACCTCGGTGTAACAGCGATGTCCACAGTCCAGCATGACTGGCAGCAGCAATTAAACGTTAAGGACACTGTGGATACAGGGACAGTTTTAATTCTGAAGTTTAAGGTTGCCTGCATATCCTCCATATTTGTATGCATCCCTTATTTAATTGTGCAACATGTCTATCTCCAGCAAAAGGCATAAATTGCTCTTCACATCCATACATCTTTTCACTGAAATACATCAATACAACAGATCCAGTAACATATATTTAATAGTTTTCAGCAAAACCACCCATTTTGTGGCTTATCTGTGACATTGTCTATCACTTCTTGTGATTTTATCAATTGTTAGACATATGTCAAGGTGGGAGGAGGAGTATGGAGGCTGGTGGTCTGTGATGTTAGTAAAAGTATGCAAATAGTGAGAGAAGAATGTCACGCCTTTTTGGAAAATGATACCGCTTTACCCACCTAACAAAACAAGTCTACTCTCCATAGTCTTTAGCTGTGAAGAGGTCACTTATTGAAGTAATTTGCAGTTTTTCCATGTGACTGCCCACATGCAGTGAGCAGGCTGCATGCTCTTCGTGGTTTTGAGATGTGGAAGCATCAGGCTCAGGAAGCATACTCTATGGCTTCCCCAGAACTGAATGTCCTTTCCAAACAGACCGTGGTTAATTTCCTCCCCATGTGCACACAGGCTGGCACGTTTGTAGCACCAGTCAGTAAGGCACTAGGCATTCACTCCAGCTGTCACCACTAAAAACAACAGCCCAAGTGTTGTGTCTGGACTAGGGATCACTACCCGAGATGTTGTGTGAGCAACAAGGTAGCAGATCCTGAGTTTGTCTTCCCCAAGCTATTAACAGACAAGCTATGTGGAAAGGATGTCCTCCAGAAAGGCTTTAAATGGCATTGGAAATTACCAGTGTTATGAGAGTCTCAGTTTTCTGTATGAGCCTTGCATTTTAAAATACAATTTCCCATCCCTCCCCCCCGGCTCCTTGCAAACAGTTGGGAGTTACTGAGACATGGTGAGTCATGTGCAGTACAACCTCCTTGAGACCTTCACAGCCCCATCATAATGGTGTCCTAAATTTTCAGACAGCTTACTGCTCTGGGGTTGCAGAGGTACATTGTATGACACTTAGCCACTTCCCTTGCTTATGCATATACTGAAATCACTCCAGTCAGTGTCAGCTGCACCAGCTCCTCAGATCTGGCACTCTTATTTTTGTCACAAAAAGAGCAGGTAAACCCATGAGAGGTGATTATAAAGCCCTTTACACACTTCTGAGTTGAAAATGGACCCCAAGTTGTTGTGTATTATCAAAATAATTTATAAATAAATAGAATATAAGGTGTCTATCTACCTGCATTTGTATTTTTAGTTCAATATTATTCCACTGTTTTGATACACTGCAGAGAAATCTCTTGAAGGTTTGTGGGATTTAATGGACACAGACGTAGATTGGACAACTTTTATAGGAGCAATGGTGGCATCTAGTGGTTAAGAAAAACAGTCCTGCACCTGTGTTCAGAATGCCTTTAAAAATAATGTAAAGGGCATCTAAAACACCATATGTATTCATAGCAGCCATAGATGGAAAGCATTGACTAAATCTGGCTGTCCTTTAGATGTTCCATTAGAAAGTTAAGAATAATGGCTGAATGCCATTTTCAAAACAACAACAAGAAAAAAAGCCTCAAAAAAGTGGTGAGAAGTAGATATACTTGACGCAAGAAAGGGGAAATTTAAGACTGTTGTATATTAATTATTGAAAGGACTGGAGCTATTTCTATCACTAGTCAGACAAATCTGAAAAATTTGCAATAGGGTGGCAGTGTTCAAATCCAAAACAAAACCTTTTTCACTACTTTTTCACTTTCGTTCTTTAAAGTATCACCACAAATCAGCAAATAACTCCCTTTTAGGTGTGTGAGATTAAAAACTAATTAGAGCATTTGGCTCTAAGTGATGGAAAATTATGTGCCCAGCCCACAAAAATAGCTCATATTAGAGCTAGCACAGCCACCTGCAAAAGATAAAGAAATATCAATTGTCTTTGTAGAGCAAACTTACAGGAACTCTAAGCTTTAAATTCCCCTTGGGCATTTGGTTTCATTAGGGAGGCATACAGACATCATTTACAGAGTAGTAGTTGTAATTGCCAAACATCCTATAACATTTTTGTTGGCATATATTTATTCATTGATACACCTGGGTAATCATATGCATTAATCGTATCTTAACAAATAAATAGTCTTTAGTCTTTATTATAATATTCCAAAACTCCTCAGGGTTTATGGCTGAGTTTTGTATTTTTACATTGTGTTTGCATTATTGCAACATCTGGCTCTATAACCATTTGCATTTTTATGCACCGTTTTATTTTGGAAGGTAATTATATGTCCAATCTATTAACCTTCACAGGCATCTGACTGAATGTGGTTAAAGCCTTTTCAATTGATTTTACTGGGCACTGGACACAGCCACATCTCAGATGAATATGTCCCTTTCTTTCAAGAGAGATCAGCTACTTAAATCTTTAAGATCCGTCTTGGTTTGAAAAAGAGGTGTCTGCCATGGAAGCTGGGAACCTCCCTTGGAACAGAAAAAAAATTACCCCCTTCCCTCTGAATTACTATAACTTAGAAATAAAGGGGTCTTCAGACAGATATGGGAAAAGGAACAACAGTTCTTTACTAGTATATATATGTGTAACAAGGCAAAAAAACAACAATGACAGAGACAACAAAAAGAACCAGAAGAATAAAGCACCTCTGAAGAAATTGGTTGACTTTTTCCTCCCTTCTTGGCAGTCTACCTGAGAGGAGGTGAGTTTTGGTGGGACCAGGGAAAGTGACATCCCAGTTAGCAGCACTCTCCCTGTACCTGTGGAAACTCTTGATCAGCATAGCTCACTACCTCTGTCTATACAAGGCAGTGCAATTTATTTGAAGAATATCAGACTTCCTGGGTTTTCAAACTGAAGTTGGTAGGGTTCAGTTAAGGCTAAATATCTCATGCAATCCCTTTTCATGTGTCCTGTGAAGCAGTGCTTGGGAAGTGATTCCCACCTGCCAGTGCTACAGGAAGCATCCCTCTGAGGGGGGAGAGGCTTAGGGATTCCGACCCAGGTACAGGGACTAGCAAGCTGCACCCTTCCCCTTCCTTCTCCTCACAGCAGCATCTTTTTTTCTTTTAAGTATCAGTAGTAATAGTTTCTTAGAAACAGATGGGACAAAATTACATGAGAGAAAGAAACAAAAGGAATAATCCTAATCCCCAACACAGTTTTACCAGAATTTCCTTGCAGAGAAATTAGACTTAGTGCAGCAGGAAGCCAGCTGCAATGTCTTGCTCCTCCACTACTGTCCACAGGGCCAATTCTGATGCTCATATATTCAGTCCTGTTCCAGAGCGAGATCAGTGAAGTGAAAGAGTTATTACTAAAAACAAAACCTTTGTATCTTCTAGAATTATTTGCAGTTCTAAAAATCCATCAGGAATTAAAATTTTAGATTCAAGATGATTTAGTAAACCCATATTTTATTCTGGGAAAACAAACAAACTACATGATCTGCAATTTAATTAAAGTGTGGAGCTTCATATTCAAATTTAAAGAAAAACAGAATTTAAATTATATGATAGACTATGCTGGGAAATCTGTACTTCTGAAAATCCATTTAGATTTAACATTTATCTCCATTATTTATAAAAAAATATTATTACACCAAAGTTTACATGGGCTATTTATGTGTAAATTTGTTTAACCTGCTTTATTTTACTCTTATTTCAAACTGTTTGTCTTGTCTGTACTTTGTAGTTGTTTTTCTCTCTTCTTAGAAGAGAAATAAATTAGGCAAAATCACTGTCTTTTATGAATAGAAGACCTCCATACATAGCTCCCATCTCTTCGTGGGATACACTAAAAGGTTCTAAGTGGTGGACAGCAGTGTTTACTCTCTTCCTTCTCAGGTACCCCATGGTACATAGCCGTGGATGGGAATGGAAGACATAGTCTCAAGTGGTTTAAAC